TATCAAAAATATTTCACAAAAATTATGAATAATTTGAAGAGTTGAAACTCTTCCATTGCTATTTAGATGAAATTTCTTTGTAAATAATGTTTTACTTAGATTTTTCTTATCTGATCATATAATGACTTGCTCACCTATCGCTTCTAATGACCTAGTATTACAAAGTTTTTTTATAAGTGCAGGTACAAAGCCTATTATTACTCCTTTTATTTCATAAGATCTCGATCGTCATTTGTTCCGAATTTAATAGAAATAAAATGCTAACTAATATTCCTACTACATTATCTCAAGTTGTATTGAAGAATATCTTAAACATTGAGTAGGGTTTTTGTGTAAACTGGAGATAGACGTCATAACGAAAGTATTCTCCACATTTTATATTGTACAGACAGTAGAATATAAAATGGAACCTTACAATACATTAAGTATTTTACAGTCATATTATTCCTTAATAAAGAGTTTACAGGTTTATAGTATCTTCTTAAATTTTTCCAAGAATAATTTCTTTTTTGTCATTGAAACAAAAAATTATATTCAATGTGTGGAAATCAAAATCAAAAAAGGCAACATAGATGAATGAATCATACAATTTGTCGCTCAAACTAATGCTATAATCGTAAAATTATCAGTTGTCGAATATATACTTATTTATATAATTTCATGGTTTCTTAATAGAAAATATTCCATATATGATATTACCTACTGAAAAATGCTGTGAAATTAGTGGTTAAAGAACTTTATTTCCTCATAAAGGACATACAATGTTCACTTAAATGAGATATAATACATAATTTAATTTAATTAACAATATAGTATAGTAGTAACGACTTATACAATTCAAGAGTAGTTAATCTAAGTGATTTTTACAATAAGTTAATAATTTCTTTTTAGAAGTCTTAAAGGTTTTTTCATTAAAAAATTCATTAGGTAAGCTATTATAATATAGTTTCGCTCCCTCAAACTGTATAGTTTTAATTCCATATTTGGTCCTGGGCTTGGGTAATTCGTTTGTGTTTATTTCTCGTGTTATGTTTATATGTTTTAGTTTTAAATGTTATTTGTGTGTGTATTGGTTTTGTAAGTTTTTTTCTAATTAATATGCATGTTTCATATTTGTATAACTGGTTAAATGATAAAACATTAGTACGTTTATACAATTCTTTAGTTGACATGTAATAATGTAGATGGAATAATGTTTTTAATAATTTATTTTGCGAAATCTGAAGATCCTTTATATTACTTTTATATGCACTTCCTCAAATCTCAACAAGATATTCTAATAAAGGTTTGACAAGTGAGTTATATATTATAATACGAATCTTGTGTGGTATACAACGTGATGATCTACGTATAGCTTCAGTAAGTGAGGTTATTTCTCTTTGTAAATAATCTAAATACTTACAAATTACACAATTAATTTAACAATTATTTCATATAGATTGATTAATTTTATTCAAATTAATAAACTTACCCAAGCTTCCAATGAGGAGCCCCAAAAATACGAACGCCTTGAACACCATTTTTCCTATTTTTCTCAAACAAACTGATTTCTTCCCATTAAAGTTTATATTTATATGAATGCTGAAAATAGATAAAATTGATTAATTAGAAGTGATAACCATTACACCTTCCTAAAATAGAATATTAGTTAACTTTTTTTTTCATAATGATAAGCAATTTATCAAATTTGGGAAAACCTTTACATGTTCTGATAATTTTGTCTGGTCTTGATTAATTTTGTCTGTTCTTGATTCTTTGTTGATTAAGGTTAAAAGGATACAAGAAATAGCTAATGTTTTTAAAGAAAAAAAAATAATTACAATTTTTTGAGAGGAAATCATAGAATGGAATAGAAATATTGGTTTTAAGTTCATGAAACAAGTTCTATTTTATGCGGAACATGTCACTGCACTTCTAGCAAATATTATGATACTTTACGACTAAATACATTGGTATACAGATAAATTTTATGTTATTAAGTCTTTTAGAGTAATATTTAAACTCAGTTTGTAAATTTCTTTGAATTATTTTTTTGATAAAACATAAAATATTTTCGTGTAAACATTCATAAAAGGTAAGTAAATTAATAAATCAAGTTACTTAATTCAGTAGCCCTAAGATAACAGTTTTTATGAATCTAAAACAGAAACCGCTTCGTAATTAGTAATACTATCTAATCTATCAGGAAGTCTGTTACGTACGCGTTACAAATGAAGAAATAACTGAACATCGCCATGGGTCCATCTTTGTATGAGTAATATATCATATAACGAGTGACGCCGCCGACCCCACGGAACGAACACCAAGCCCTGTGAACCAGAAGAGTCCTTACACCATACAAGCAATAGAATTTGATTGTCATGAGTGGTGTGCACAGTAATTTAGGGTAGGGTAAGCAGAATAACTATGTATGAAAAAAAATTAACAATTCTCTTCAATTCCTTTCTGAAACATTGATAACAATGAGATCTTTGGAAAGAATTCATTTAAATGAAACTAATATTTGCGGATTACAACGCGTAATTTATTATTTTTAACGAGCAGACGAGATGTCTACCCTGATCACGGTTGCCGTAAAGTTATCGAAACGTCGGAAGTAGGTAATTTTTAAACATAATAAAATACGCGAAGTAATCAGAAAATATTAGTTTCATTTAAACATTGATAATATTCGTGCATAATTTTACAGCAGTCCGATCAGAACGAAAATGTATATACTTTATGAATCTCTCAACTATCTCTGAACCACGAAAGTACCTTAAAACGACTACGATCTGTTCATCACAGTTTTATAATCATCCAGTGGAGGTTCAAACATTTTTATATTGTTATCAACAAACAAGGCAAACAAAATAACTCATTTGTGTGTACACGACCTGCTAGCTAATTCAAACTATCGTAATACTTTTTATTCAAACGAATATCATTACCTTTCTTTTAGTTAAATCTCAACTGGTCACACACCTTGACTTTACACATATTTTAATTTTATTGTCAAACGACAATATTTAAAATCTACCCGTAATTAATTTCGATAAACACACATCACAAGCACAGAGCTCACAGCTATAATTTAATTCGTTTAATTCGTTTAAATTAATCTACTGTTTACTAATCGTTATATATATAATTCTACTGTGAGTGTGTATGTCACTGAACTTCTCTCAAACAACTGGACTGATTTTCATGATTTTTTTTGTGTTCGTTCAAGGGGATCTGGGAATGGTTTAGATTCACAATTTTGTCCGCTGGACAATGTTTTTTTTATTAATTTTTCATTTATTAGTAGTTGTTGATTTTGATTTTGAAAAAATAATCAGACGTGGAATAACAAAACGCAAATGACAGCTATGTAATTGACGTATAATGACAGGTATGTAATGACGTATGGATGACAATTTGATATTCGTAAGAAATCTATATGTATAAAAATGAATTGCTGTTCTATAGTCTCACTAAAACTCGAGAACGGCTGAACGGATTTATCTTATCTTAGTCTTGAAATGTTCGTGGAGGTTCAGGAAGGTTTAAAAGCTGAAAAAATTGATTCATTTTCCGGAAAACCCTAAAAACAGCCCTTTTCTATTTCCCATACAAACGTTTTCTTTGACATTATATTTGACAACTAACTAATATGTCAATCATTGTGTCGCACTTCAAAACACGAAGATTTATGGCTTAAAGGTAAATTCCAAAAATATAAATAAAAAAATGTAACAGATATTTCTTGATTATAGCGCGATACGAAGTTCGCCGGGTCTTCTAGTTAACTAAAAAAAATATATATGAACAGTTTACCGACCAATGAAAGTCCCGTTTCATTTGACAATTAACGGACTTTCTACGAGATTAAAAAAAAATAGAAATATGCAGTACCTCTCGAGCACTATGCATGTGTTAGTTTTACACACACACACACATACACACACACACACACACACACACACACACACACACACACACACACATATACAAACATTTCCTGCATACATACACGAGATTTGTAGATCGTCCCTAAGAATTTTTGTATGAAAAATAAGCACAGAGTTGTTGTGCAATGTGCATACCGCCGCTCTGGCTGCATAGCAACGCTAGCAGTTGACAACGGCCTATCGAAAATGTTTCGTTTTTACATTGGTAGATTGGTCTTTTAACAAATAGGTAATCAAATGTCATATTAAATGTCTAAACATTGTATTTCGTAATGTATGATTAAAAGTATGTAAGTAAGAATTAAACAATATTGGTTTAGTTGTTCTATGGGTAGGATATGCAGTGCTTATTTGCATCTATAATGTTTTACGCCACTGATTGTCATTCTAACATCGGGGCAATCATGTAGTCTTAGGGATAGGTTATAAGTTTTAATATATAGTTCTTGTTATAATATACATACTAGAAACTCGATTATCCTCAGTTATACGAACTTGCGATTATCCGGATTACGGACAAGTCCGGATAAGAATAAATGTCAAAGCGTAAGAGAGTGATGTTGTTGAGAATGGCGTACGTCAAATGACAATTACACAAATATTTTAAACCAAATTAAACTTATTATTTTAATTCATGATTACTAATTGCAAATTACCAAATACATATTGTAATTTATTTCATGATTAAATCTGCAGTTTTTATATGTAATCTAAGAAAATGCATCCTTGAATTACTTATTAACAAACATTGATTTACGTCGATATGGCTTTGTTACTTTTTTTTATATAAACATATAATATTATGTACTACATAGATAAACACAAGACCGGCTTTTCTTCATACATTCGGTTATCCGGATTTTCGATTATCCGAATGCCTTTCGACAACAATTAGTCCGGTTAATAGAGTTTCTACTATATAAGTAAGTTTCTTAGTTTTCCTGGAACCTCCAGTTGGCACCCTACGTAATTAGTCTACCAATATTAATTGACATGAACGGAACTATGAAAACACATACAATATTTTTATAAATAAACTTTTATTTTGGTTCACAGTATCGTGTTGAGTTATCGTGTGCTTTGTTCGATCCAGGAGCGGTAGGCACTGACCCTGGCGTACATATCTGGAGCACCACGAGCGCAAGGAAGACCCCAAGATACAACACCGATTTGACGACCATCGCTTCTGCGGAGGAGGGCACTGCCGGAGTCACCCTTAAAAAACAACCCGTTTTTTATATTTTCATTCAAAACTATTCATCTGATTTATTACTAGTAAAAAAATGTGTAATTCTTTTCGTAAAATCATACCCATTTTCATTCAAACTTGTAACAATTGCCAATGAAAGGCAATGAATTTTATATACTTTTGAAAAACTAAATACATATGAAAGCAGTAGTTGAGTCTAGAATTATATACTGAACACGATTAAAAATATCAATTTTATAGTAAAAACAAAATTGAATCTTATGTTTTATAATACAGAAGTTAAAACTTACATGGCAATTTCCGCGATTCTGACCTAAGTAGGTGCAAACTTCAATGTGTGATTGTACTGGTGGGACGCGCATGTTAATTTGAGAAGCTCTGCGAGCGACATCATTGATGCATTGTTGGCCATCGATGACTGTGGTACGGAGCTCCAACAAAACTGAGGAGAGTGATCCACCGTTCTGAAATATAACATGAGATCGGCTATTTGTTTCTATGTTAAAGGGGCAATGCGCATACGGTCTACTTAATGGGCAGTAGTCATAGTCGCCTATAAACTTCTGCAATGTAAAGGATATTGCAGATGCGTTGGCGACCTTGATTAATGAAGAGGGAGAGGAAAAGGAAGGAGCAATTGGATATATGGGGATGGGAGAACAGGGGATGACCTTTTTTACGTAATTAAAATTATGTTCGATATTTCTAGATCATGGCAGGCGTTCCTCTGCTTTTGAGAAATCGTCAGTGCACAAAAGGAGACAGCGGAATGGGTAAGGGAAGATGAGCCAACAACACCGCAGGAGTTTATAGCGTTCACGACCGTTGCTTTCCTCTTAAGGAGGTTTCTAACATCTTAAAGTTTCAGATGAAATATCTTTCTCATGAGAGAATTCTTACTATTTGCAGGTACAATAATTGAAGCCATAAGCCTGATGATAATGAAGCTAGGGATTCACTTTATTGACATACCAAAACAAGGACTACATTTCCTTTGATTGTATACCATGAAGAATATAAAAGAAATTGGTTTATTTATTAAATATATTTTATTCACTCACTCTTGTTCTTCCCCATCCATTGACTACAGCTGGGACATCACCTCCGATGAAGTCAAAGGAGATGGGCACAACATTAACATTGCTGTTCAGAGCGACATTCCTGGATGTCACCAGGAATCCCAAGTCGTTCTTGATGATGTTGTGGACGTAATTGGGATGGGTGATGTTTCGGGCGAACTCGTATTGGGTACCGCCGCTGTTCCAACGATTCGTGCCTACTGTACCACGGAGGGAACTAGGAAATAAAATCAAAATTATAATATAAATCTGTAGGGTAATCAGTGGCGGCCGGTGGGTAATCGAACCGGTGGTGCACTTTACTAAAATATTAAAATTAGAAAATGCAACAAAACATAACTAGATGTCAATCATGGCTCAATCCGTCATACATCGGGTGCTCTCGGTAATCTTCGACCGCTCGTGCGGCGCTCGAGAACCGACTCATTACTCATTACTCGGTACATTTCTATGAACTATGTATCTTTTGTTTCACGCGTCAGGCGTATTAATGCGTATCTCATTCAAAATGTATTAGCAGTCCTCGTGCACTCGCCGAAGCGCACGATATGAGTTTAGTAAAGCGCTCAGACTTTTTGACCATAATTAGGAAATTTACGTTTTTATATGTTTAAAAAATAAATATTAAAATGGTAATTTGAAAATAAAGATGAAGTAATAATTCGTAATTTTTAAATCTTTTGAATTGGTGGTTCAGCGCACGAGTGCACTTAAGGTACAGCCGCCACTGAGGGTAATATTACGAATTTTCTATCTGTCATGAAATAGCATTGATTGCATATTTAATATGGTATATAAATGTTTGTTTTACGTAACATTAGATAATTTTTAAAACATTAAGAAATTTGATAACTATAGGAGCTTACGATAATTGGATTCAATTAAAGAAAAAATTACCTACTATATATAAACTACATATAAAGTTTTTGTTATATCATTTTTACCAGTTCTTACTGAAAACTTACTTCAAGAGAGATCCACCGCTAAATACAGCAACAATGCAATGCGCCGCAGTGAGGATGTGTCTTTGGGTGATAAGAGAACCTCCACAGGTGAAGGATCTGGTGAAGACACCAGTACTCAGGGCTACCATATGAGGAACTTTGCCAGCAGTTTGCCCTCCGACAATGTATGGTGTTATATCAGGGTGGTCGAAGAAGACAGACATGTCTTCCTCCTCATTTAGAGGGAGACCTGTAATTAGTGACGTCACATAAAATACCACATCCCTATTTTTTATTAATGTCTAATGTCTCTAAACTTTGAAAATCATAAAAGAATTCTGAGTTGTCTGTTTAGCAGTTTAAGTAAGCTTTATTTTCCGTTTCATAAGATTGAGTTATTTGAGAATTGTATGAGCATGAGCAGTGAGCTGCTTGAAGTCAATTTTAAAATCAATTCATCTTAACTGCTTATAAGCGGCTTTAAATAATTGTGATACCATTAGTCAAGTAGTAAATTAGATGTTGGAGTTTATTTCTTAAAAAAAGTAAACAGTACAATAAGTTTTATAAAATAAGGGGCTTGGTTTAGACTATAGTATTTAACTAAACTGAATTAAATAACTTTACAAAATACCTACTAAAAAATAAAAAAATATAATCAGAATTTAATTACCTATACCCCGAAAATTACTTATTCATAATTTATGATATATCATAAAAATATTTTCATACACAGCATCGGAATCTGAATTGCGTGTTATTTGAAGTATAATTTCGTTAATTTATGAATTATCTTGTAATATTAAGGGTTTAAAAATACTTTTAAAGCTCACCTAAGCTCCCGACTAGGAGAGCTAACAACAAGCACCCAGTTTTGAACACCATTTTCCTTAACGCAATGCAGTCATAATGAGTAATGCACAAGTTTATATAGAAATATTTTAAGATGTATGATAATAATTATCATATTTTATGACACTATCTTTATAATACAATAATTAAGCACTGCTAGAATCTGTGTTTTATGTTCAGATAGATTTAACTTTAAATCAGATATCAAAGTACACACCACTGTAAAATTTAAATTGTGTCGAACCGGACACTACCAGTTATAAAGGACATATTTTAATCGAATAATTTAATTTAAAGATATTTTGGTCTTTTTTGGTCAAAGTGTAATTCGGTTAAGAAGTAGTTAGAGTTGTATAATTATATTATTATTATATACAGTATTTAATGTATTCCTGAAGGTAACAGAGCCCGTCTATATTCAAGTGAATACAGCTCGAACATGGGCTGGCTAGACCGAGGAAGTATCACACTCTCACATATGATCGGCGTGAAGTAGTTATAAATGGCTGAGTTTCGTCCGATGAGCCAGAAAATCGGTTGCTCTATCTTTTTCCCACCCTTTCCTGCCGATTCTCTTTTCCCACCCTTTCTTCTACCTCTTCCCCAATCAAGTGTGATCAACCACTGCCTCCCATCAGGTTGGTCGTCTGCTCGGTAGCCCCCTTTAGCATAGAAAAAAATATAAAAAAATATTATAATGTTATATTCTATACCTAGATACAAACCTATTTTGTTGCCTTGGAAATAGCAAGATACTGTAATAGATAAGCAGTAAATTTCTTTTGTAGAAACATCAAAACAAGTCATAATTACCGTATTAATATTTGGGAGAGTTTGTTAATTTTGTTAAACTTTTTATTCTCAAAATCACATAAAATTTTATCGTATATTTCAATAGACACTGAATTCTAAATACTAAGGTTTAAATCATACTTTACTCTGTTACTAAGGTAATTACTTAAACTAAATCTGGATGGATTTTATTTATAGGAGACGTAAGTTTTTTGAAAACAAACCGCGATTTATTTTTTGATACACAAATATATTTATTGGAAAGAAGTATCAATATTGATAGGGGTTTCAATGCAGTCTAGGGTTCGATCTCTACTAAATTTGTTGGAACATACAAATGATTGAGAAAAACAGCTAATTTTGAGTGAAATCCCAAACTATTTGTTTATATTTATATGCTTTCTGTTAGAAGTTTTCATTACGTAATTAAGATAATTTAATACTAGCTATTACTTAGGTACGCCTACGTCAACAATTTGTATTTTTTTATTGTGGTATATGTACCTACCACGTAGTAAAACATTAAACAGGGTTATTTCAATTTTACAAACAGACACTCCGATTTTTATTTATATATGTATAGTTTGTATAGATTGATCCACAAACAGTTTTTCGTAATCTGTTCTTATCTATACATGATAGATGTCACTTCTTTGATATTACAAATAATTTATCAGTTGACATGAATATTTTCAACAAGATTTGTTTATAATTACAAAATTAATAGATTAGAATCACGTGACTTAAATTTTTTAAGTTATTGAAGTAATTATTGCGTTCGCGTCCTTCTGTATCTGTCTTCACGTTGATTTAAAACCTTGTATCAGGGTTAATTCCAAAATCATATTTAGACATCATCGTCAGCCTATCAGAGCCTACTGCTGAGCAAAGGCCTCACTTCACATGGAGAAGGTTTTGAGCATTAATCACCACTCTTGCTCAGTTCGGGTTGGTGATTTTAAACTTATAATTTGAAATTAATTATAAGGCCAGGTTTCCTCACGAAATTTTCTTTCACCGTCTGTTAATAGTGTCTAAATACTATAGGTTAGTCCATATTACTCACATTAGTATAATTGCCAGGTTTCAAACCCGCGCCCTCAAGCATGAGGCGGGCCTTTAACCTCTAGGCCACCACGACCCTTAATCCCATTTTTACCAAACTCGGGTTGTTAAATCTGAACGGGGACATTTAATATGGAACCTTTAAAAATACAAGTTTCTGTCAAAATATTTACATACCACGATTAAAGATTAACAACGCATTATAAATGTCACGTTAAATGACAAGCTAATAAATTATTCCGTCTTGTTATAAGAGGACCCAATTGAAGATACAGGGTATAATACGACATCTTAGCTACGATGTACCACTTTATACTTTGATCGTGTATATCCCTCGATACGTCACTGGTTAGCTTATGTACTACATTTGATGTATTGTTGGTTGCATACATTTGGCACACAAAAAGCTTTCTTTTCAGTTTACTAGGTGTAACCTGTCAAAATCGTGTTGTGCTTAGCATAGTGTCCACGTTGTAAGTAAAAAAAGAGTACTTAATTTTCAATGTCAAATATTTAGTTACTATGGTTACAAGAAATCAGGGCTGTGATTGGACATTTGAGTTTTGACAATGCATTAATAGTCTGTTAGCCATTTGACGGACCTCTAGAGCAGGAATTAATATTAATGTCTTGTTAAGTCATCATAAAAATTGATTAGCGGAAGTGTATCTTTGTCAAATGTATGATACATATAAAAAAAACTTTAAAATTTTTTTAATATAAATATAGCTTTTACACTTCAATTAAACTTTATAAATTAAAATAATAATATTTGTCCCTACAACAAAAACACTTATCTTGTTTAGGTAAAGAATGATGATAAATAATTAAAAATATTAACTAAATATAAATGACGCAGGCATAAATATATGATATTATAATTTTTCAGATAATAATTATCATAAATGAAATTGATTATTAAACTAATTAGGTTATTAGCCTTCATTATAATTATTCTATGAAATATTAAATATTGATATCTATGCTTATTGAGAGGTGACAACATCACTTTATGTACCCAGCGTTGAAAGTTATTCATTCATAAATTAAACATTATAGTATTAACGTAAGCTATTGAATGAGTAAAACGTAAGGCTTTGTTTGTAGTGTGACGATGCAGACTTAGACGAAACATAGTATTTCATGAATACTGGAAGAGCTAGCTATGAAGGACAAGAAAACATAATAATAATAACATAACTCTCCTTGAAAAAATATAGAATAATTCGTTTTCAATAAAAGTTTCAAGGGTTGGACAGTTCCTCAGCACTTAAATTTCAAAATTTGACATTATTTTGAATTGTTAAAATTATAATTATCATGTACCTATGTATAATTTGTCATTATTATTAACTTTGTTTATCTGCATTTGTCAATTGATTACATTAAGTTGATAAAAGAAATATATGTACACACATTTAATATATAAAAAAAATAAGTTGTAGTTAGTTATATCCTGAGAGAAACATTCATTAAAAAAGAGTTACTTTTTTTCTTTTTTGTTTCATTTTGTAAATGTATGTTTTTATTTTCTAAAAAGAAAATGCTTATCGGATTAATTAATAAGCAAAATTATCAGAAGAAGTTATTAAAAACTCTATTTAATCTAGTAAAAAAGCCTTTTGCATAGTCAGTCATCAGTCATCAACCTATCAGAGCCCACTGCTGAGCAAAGGCCTCTTCTTACATGGATAAGGCTTGAGCATTAATCACCACGCTTACTCAAGACGGGTTGATCATTTCAAACTTATAATTGTGAAATTATAAGTCAAGGTTTCCTGACGATGTTTTTCCTTCACCGTCTTGTCTTAACAATGCACAAATTGTTATCTACTAATACTACTAACGGACTAACTTGCACTTGGCATGAATTAACTTTACATATGAAAAACAATTGTTAAACTAAATATGAAGTAAATTGGGAAGGTAAAAAGGCACGTCCATTACGTATTGTGTGGATCAAATCGTCTAACGTGCGTAGAATGCTGAGTTACATTTATCAACCGAGCTTTGGGATACTTCTGAAGTTTTAATATGTCTTCTTCTTCTTCCTTCTAGCAATTAACCCGACTTTAACCAGGGTCTGCCTTCCTATTGAAACTCCTCCACTTTGCTCGGTCTTTTGCATCCTCGGTGGTAAGTCCATTGGCTCTCATATCCTGCTTCACGTTGTCCAGCCATGGCGACTTCAGAAGTACCCCAAGACCCATTCTCTGGCTCTCATTTTATTTGAAATGACATTTTTGTTTGCTTTTCTTAGAAATTACAAAAATAACAATTTCAAGAATAGTTGTGAATCATTTTTAGACTACAAATTTTCTTTTTTTCACAATATGTTATTCTTTATTCTAATGTTTATAAAACTAACATTTAAGAAAATATATAGACAACCACATTTTGAAATTATTGCATATCTTAGAAAATAATTCTAAAATTAGAAGTTTATCCACCACCCAGAGTAATGTATACATTATGTATGCAATATAAGGTTTGTTTTGCTATACATATAATATCTTAATATTTATACATAGTCCATGACAAGAAGACGATGTTGGGCCGTCAGGCTGTCACCAGAAATGACTTTACAGTTAGTCACCTTACCCATATGACATCGTTTGGTCAGCAGATAATCTATTATTTAGTATTTTATTAATATTAGCATTTGATCCGGGATTTGTCACGTGGTTGGCGGAGTTATACATCAAATCAAAACACAAACTCATTAAGTTAAAAAAAATGTATTGTGTATATTGTTTGAGTCAAGAAAAATCGAGTTTATTCCTAGAATACAAGACCTACGTTTTATCACAGTCTGATTCATGGTTTCAGAACTCACTGAAGTTTAAATAAATATACATGACTTTATGTTCATTAATTTTGAAGAAAAAATAGAGGTTTGGCCATGCAGTATGTGTTGGAGATATTTTAGTAGAATAAAGTTTAATTCAAGATCTGCTGAATCCATGACTGGTAGGCGCTGACTCTCACGAACATGTCTGGAGCTCCACGAGCACATGGCAGAACCCAGGACGCTAAACCGATCTGCTTGTTATTTCTGAGATCCACTAGGGCACTACCGGAGTCACCCTGGAAAATAAATAATATTATAGTGATTAAGTGCCTTATTTTAAAAAATCATAATATGTTTTGAAAATGTGGGAATATATAGATCACTTCTTTAATTTTACTTTGAACTCTTGCAGAATACGATTGTGAGAAATGTAGACATGTTGGCTGACGTTAATTAGTAGACTTTTCTCGAAAATGATTTATGATTGCGTAATATGTAACTGAGGGCACTTCTAATAGGCTACTTGTTAACTTACTTCAATAAATCTTGTATACTTTATGACTACTCTTATTACATATATTATAAATTTGTAAATCAAAGTCTTACATGACACATGCCACTATTGGCTCGAAGGTAGGCGCAGATTTCAATCTCGGGATCTACAGATGGTGTATTGGGTCTGTTAAGCTCCTGCTTCCTCCTGTCTACATCTTTTACGCATTGTTCGCCATCTACCGTGAATGGACGAAGTTCCCTCAGTACTAGAGATGCTGGTCCACCTACCTGAAAGTTAGACAAAATATAGATAAATGAAATTAAAATGAAAGGCAATTTGGTTGATTTAATCTTTAAAGTTCCATACTATAATTATGAATACTAAATGTTTGAAGTTCTTAAACCTTTGAGGGTTTAAGCCCTTTGCCGCAATATTTCGTTTAATTTATAAATTCTTTGACTATGAATATTTTTTCATATATAATATTAATACAAGCTCAAAGTTTATAATTCCAACTTACTACGGTCCTTCCCCAACCATTGACTATGGTAGGAACATCTCCTCCAACGAAATCAAAACTTAATGCAACTGGCTTCACATTGTCACCCAAAACAACAGGAACGGAGGTCATCAAATATCCAATATCGTTTTTGATTGATCTACTGTTGTAGTCTGGATGGATGGCACCTTGTGAAAATGAATAATCAGATCCACCCAAGTATTGGGAGACGCTGCCAACCTTACCACGAATAGAGCTGGAATTGAATAAAAAAAAAGTTAGGGGAATCATTATAATTATTATGTGAGGACATCATTTTTAAGAATTTCTTTATTTCTAATACCTTGACAAAGATCCATCACTCAGGCTGGCACTGATACAGTGAGCTGCAGTTAGTACATGCCTTTCACTTATTAAAGAGGCTCCACAGAAGAAACTCCTTATCATGCTACCACTGCTCAAAGAAACCATGTGTGGGACGAGCGGGGAAACATCTCCACCAATTATTGAAGGATTGACGACGGTGTTATCAAAGAAAATAGAATTGTCTTGTTCCTCATTTAAGGGCAAAGCTGGAAATAAAATTAATTTATGTTAGGTACTAGAGCTCTAAGTTGGAGGTTCTTTTGATCGCGGACAAAACAACTTTATGTCATTAATAGGGTATGTTTTGTGAGTGCGGTAACGATTGGACTGAGGGTAGATATTTCTTTCAGTCGAACCCAACCATAAAATAAGCAATCTCTATCTTTGAATTCCAACCATTTTGTAATTAGGTTTTGAACTGATTTTGGCGATTATGTGTGTATAATTACTAACAAGTAGCTTAAAAATATGTTAAACATGGTTATACCATATTTTGTTATTTTAATACTGTGAGGTATATGAATTCAAAACAAAAAAGACGTGTGGCATTCGGAGACTGCCGCGGTAAAGCTATTGCATAAAGATATTGCATTTTTAACTTTGGGGCCGTTCAAGTATTACGTAAGCAGATTTATTATGAATATTTTCTCCCCCCATCCCCCTTGTCAGCAAAAGTTAGCAAGGCTCTTACCCCCTCTCCCATGCTTACGTAAACATTTTCAATTACTGTATTTTTTTTAAATATAAATCCATAAAAAATATTTTTTTTTTTATGGATCTTCTCGAGTGATGATAAAAAAGTAAATAACTATCGATGACGTAATCATCATCTAGACTCCCCTACCCCCCCTGTCATCCAAAATAAGCAAAGCAAAGACCCCCCCCCGCTTCATAGTGCTTACGTAATACTTGAACGGCCCCTATTGAAAAAGTAGTTTTTTATTACTTAAAATGAAAAACAGATCTAAACTATACCAACAGGAATACAAAATCATAAAAAGTAAACTGTCGAAGTAAAATGAAAAATTTCCACATATATACGAAAGCAACACACGTTTCAATGTCAATATCTGAATCGCGCTATCAGTATTTTGTAGCTCGTTGACAATAGTATATCTTTATATATATAATTCTTCTGTGAGTGTGTATGTCACTGAACTTCTCTCAAACGACTGGACCGATTTTGATGAAATTTTTTGTGTGTGTTCAAGGGGATCTGGGAATGGTTTAGATTTACGATTTTATCCACTGGACAATATTTTTTAATTTATTTTTAATTTATTAGTAGATAATAGGACAATAGTTAGGTTTATTTCGTTACAGAAATTCTGATTTCGGGCTCCACGCTCAAGCCCGCGATAGGAACTATGCAATAGCTTGAAATTAAATAAGCAGGAATTAAAAATCCTAGGAAGGAAGTTTTTTTCTAGCAAATAGCAATAGCTATTGACGATTCATTATATGTATTTATTACACTATATAACCATATTTTATTTGTTTCGATCGTGTTTTCTTATCACTTTATAAACAAGAATAGAATTAGTTCAATTCATTACTGTGTTACAATTTATTTCGAAAAATAATTAAATCACGTCAATAATTACGTAATACTTGGTATAAGACATTGCTTCAATTTTAATAGTACTATATATTTTATATGAAAAGTCCTACATATATGTAAAATAAATTTATTATTAAACAAAAGTCTTTTTAAAAAATTGGAAGTTCAGATGTTGTTACAGCTTATTTTTTAAATCATTACATGTAACTTGGATAAAAGATTTTTGACTGTCATTGCATTTTTTTTGTTGACGCAGGGAAACTCTTTTCACGAGCCGTCCAACCGGCCTTGGTGGGACCGGAAGGGATGAGTGAGACTCGGCCTGGGCAGGCCTCTACTCACTAAAACCACTGCGAAAATCATCGGCCGCTATGTTGGTGTACCCCGGATCTGTCAGCGACAGGGCACACCGGCGACTGGCCGGTCCTAGCAAAGACAGGACTTACTCCCTCGGAGTATGGGGTTGATCCCGGCAATTAGGATGGCTTTCACTTCTCCATTAGACTTTTAATAAAGACTATTTAAAAAAAGCATAGGATTTATTCCCTATTTTATACCACTTTCAATTTTTAAGAACTTTTTTGGAAGCTAATAAAATGGATATCCGGTCATAAAATATAAGACACAAAAAAATATAACATGATGAATTTAAAATTAAAGTATGTTTATCGTACAAATGTTTTTCTTACCCAGGCTTCCAACTAGGAGCGATATTAACAAAATTCCAGCCTTGAACACCATCTTGACGATCAATTACAAGTATAACAAAATAAAATAAAAAAGTACCTTTGTATAAATAGTTCGAAAATCGATTAATTAATACAGATAAGGTATTCAAAGGGGATTATCAATTTAATACGATAGGTTTATTATGGATAGGTTTTCTTCAATATTGGCTTAGTAAAAAAAAAGGTTTTAAAATAGGCATGTGTTAAAAAATACTTATAAATATATTAAATCAAAATGAATTAAAAAAATTATATCTTTCTTAATTTTTGTGAGATATTTTTTTAATAAAGATTATTATTACTTTTTTTTTTGTAGAGTAATACTTAGACTACAAAAAGATAATTTCGGCAAAAGAAGTCCCTGGAGTGTTAAAATATACCTGGATAAAGTTCCTAACACCCTATTTAAGCCACAAGACGGATATTTGTATTTATATTATCAAAGTAATCCACTTATGTTATCTCTGATATAATTAATGAGCATGACATTTAAATAATCTTCTGGTCACATGCATATAATGCATGGCAATTTCTTATTACTGTATTTTACGATCAAGTGTTCAGGTGGCTCATCCACAATCAACGTCAGCAACGCGTCTACAACACCCCTTGTGTTTTAGATGTCCATGGGCGAAGGTTGCTACTTTCTATCAGGTACACCGTCTACCTGTTTGCCTTTGGGTCATTTAAGAAAATATTTATTTTTAATCTGATATTAGAGACAAATTGAAGTAAAAATCTCAACAATGATCAAAATATTGTGGGCGTAATAAAGTTCTCTTGTTTCTTATCTTTTTGTTTTTTTTTGTTAACACGGTGAAAGGTTTTATAGGTCTAGGGGAGGCGGAGGCGGTTGTGTTTGACACACGGGCCAGAGGGGCCCATGCTACTCCAGCGGTCACTTTCCCTCGCCGCCCAGTAGATCAGCACGGGATTCGCCAAAGCATACATCCGCGACGATCCGGTGGCAGGCCGCTAACGGCCACCTACGGCCTCCGGAGAGACCTGAGTTTCCCCATCCCCCCAAGACAGCCACAAACGGCCTCCTGCCATCCGTGACCGACTGACTCCCAGGGCTGTACCCCCAGCTCTGACCAAGACCCCACAAGGAGGTCAAGGCCCCCCGTGACTGATTGCACCAGAATACACCGGTGGGCGATGGGGTCGTCACATCCCGACGCCGGAAGATCTTGTTTCTTAACTCAAAGAATATTAGTTTTACCAAATACTCCTTTTTGGTTTTGGATAATACTATGAATCCTGTATTCAATTGATATTAAATATAAATTGAAGAAACTAAATTGATTCGTACATAATATCATTAAGTTAATTAAAATATAAATTTAGGAATTTTATTATCTATCAGATGGTTAGTAGGAAGTTAAGCTAAAATTAAGGTTTTTTATTTTTTTTAATACTATCACGTTAATTTTATAAATATTAAAGAATAACATATTGAGATAAAAGTATATATGAATATGCCGTAGTATAAAACTAGTTCATAATTATTTATGTGATTTCTATAAAAGGAATCATAAATGTCACTCCAAGGAATGAGCCTTGAGGGCTTCTGAAATCAGAGTTAATACCTATGAAGACATTAATATACACGGTGACGAATTTCATTAAGAACTTTAGTAAGAATCCTTTTCTATTGTTCGTTTGTTGGAGACATTTATTTTTGCTATATCTTTTTATCTAGCATCTCAAATTAATTAAAAAAATTTGTATTTTCAGTGAAGCAGTTACTGCTTAAAAGTAGGTATCATTCTTTTAGGAATCCAAGCCTTTGCCATGGCTTGCACGTTTAATATACTTTTCATAATCTTACAGAGTATAGAAACAATTTGAATGTAGGCAAAAATTTGCTCTGTCTGAACGGCTTTATTTCTTAAGTACGAGTACAAACTTCCAAAATTTTGTTGTCATTAAAGAGAAGTGGGACAGTTGTGTTACAACGGGACGTAACTCAAGTATACATGTCTTTAATTCTTTGGCTTCGGAAAAACATCTGCCACTACCTTTATTCACAAATCAGAGTTCTCGAATCTGTTTATTAGAAATGAGGATGTCTGTCATTGTGTAGACGTGAATTTTAGGTGAAGAAAGATGAGGAATAGTATCACGGGTGTCGTTTTGGTATAGCTAAAGTCCTATTAAGTTAGTCACAGAAGACAGTGCGGGCTAACGGAAGTATGTCTTAACCACTTTAGCTTAGTTTAAGATTATTTTTTTGGAGCTATTTCGACAGATAGATACCCAGGAATATGACATCGAAATCAAATTATGTATTATGTTGAAGTAGTATAGCTCCATTTCGGTGCAAACAAAGTATTATATCATTATTTTTGTTAATATATTTCCCTTTTTATTATTTCCAACCATAAAGAAATATATTTTACGTATTTGCCCAAATAAAATATTTGAATCATTTATCAGAGCCATAGGTAGGCATATTAACGCTTAGATTCTGGCTTCATCCAGTGATTGGCGAAGCTATAAAGTAAATAAAAACATAAATTACATACGTTTTATCACAGTCTGATTCATGGTTTCAGAAATCACTGACGATAAATAAGTTTATTTTCGTTTTGTTTCGAATTGACTGATGCTGTTAGCCCTAATGGCTTTGACAGCGTCACCGAGAGGGGTGGTGGCCATAATGGGATCGACCCGATTTAATTCGGGACCGACAAGGGAAACCCCCGTCCCAAGGGTGCCTCTAAGAGGCCGGACCTCGGCTTAGGACGTCGTTGTTGTGAAGGGATTGATCGATTGATGGACAACGTGACGCCTCCCGAGCGCAGAACGCCGGAGTGACGTGTACGGAATGGGACCTCGCCTTCGCCAGCTAAGGCGGTGTTTGTGATGTCTTGTCGTCAGGGTCTAAGAGGACGTCTTTGGGACGCCTCTTGCCTATCGGGCAAAAAAAGAAGATAAATAAGTAAAATGAGTTTATATTTATTTAATTTCGAAGAAAAAATTGAGGTTTGATCATACAGTGTTTCTTGATGATTATTTTAGTATAGTAAAGCTTAATTCAAGATCTGTTGGATCCATGACTGGTAGGCGCTGACTCTAGCGAACATGTCTGGAGCTCCACGAGCACATGGCAGACCCCAGGACACTATACCGATTTGCTTGTTGTTTCTGAGATCCACTAGAGCACTACCGGAGTCACCCTAGAAAATAAAATTATATAGTGATTAAGTTTCTAATATTAGAGATAATATGTTGTGAAAATGTGGGAATATTCAGGTCACTTCTTTAATTTTACTTTGCAAGCTTGCAAAATACGACTGTGAGAAATGTACACACATCGGCAGACGTCCTTTAATAAATTTTTCTCGACAGGGATTTCGTGATGACTGCGTAGTAGGTAAGTGAGTGTACTTCTAAGAGGCTTTTTATTAACTTACTTCTATAAATCTTTTATACCTGATACCTATTCTTATTACCTATCTATATAATAAATTTGTAAAAAAAGTTCTTACATGACACATGCCGCTATTGGCTGCAAGGTAGGTGCAGACTTCGACCTCAGGATTTACAGGTGGTGTATTGGGTCTGTTAAGCTCCTGACCCCTCCTGGCTACATCTTTTATGCATTGTTCGCCATCAACAGTGATTGGACGAAGTTCCCTCAGTATTGGAGATGCTGGTCCACCTACCTGAAAGTTAGACAAAATATAGATAAATGAAATTAAAATGAAGAGCAATTTGGTTGATTTAATTTCTGATGTTCCATAATATAATTCTGAAAACTGAATCTGTAACATTCTTAAACCTTTGAGGGTTTTAAGACCTTTACCGCAATACTTCGTTTAATTTATAGATTCTTTGACTATGAATATTTTTCAATATATAATAATTGAAGCTGAAAGTTTATAATTCCAACTTACTACAGTCCTTCCCCAGCCATTGACGATGGTAGGAACATCTCCTCCGACGAAATCAAAACTTAAAGCAACTGGCTTCACATTGTCACCCAAAACAACAGGAACGGAGGTCATCAAATATCCAATATCATTTTTGATTAATCTATTGTCGTAGTCTGGATGGATGGCACCTCGTGAAAAGGAATAATCAGATCCACCAAAGGATTGGGAGACGGTGCCAACCTTACCACGAACAGAACTGGAAATGTATAAAAAAAAGTTAGAGGAATTTTTAATATCATTATTGTGGGAACATAAGTTTTCATGAATTCTTTAAATCTTATACCTTGACACAGTTCCACCACTCACGCTGCCTCTGATACAGTGAGCAGCAGTTAGGACAATCCTGTCACTAATTAAAGAGGCTCCACAGAAGAAACTCCTTACCATGATACCACTGCTCAAAGCAACCATGTGGGGTACGATTGGGGAAACATCTCCACCAATTATTAAAGGATTGACGACGGTGTTATCAAAGAAAATAGAATTATCTAGTTCCTCATTTAAGGGCAAAGCTGGAAATAAAATTATGTTATGTTAGTAGAGCTATAAGTTGGAGGTTCTCTTGATCTCGAACAAAACAACTTTATGTCATTAATAGGGTATGGTTTTGAGTGCGGTAACGATCGGACTGAGGGCAGATATTTCTTTCAGTCGAACCCAACCATAAAGTAAGCGATGTCTATCTTTGAATTCTAAAAATTATGTCATTAATTTTGAACTGATTCTGACGATTCTGGGTAGATAATTAATAGCCCAAAAATATTTTACCAACGGTTATACCAAATTTTGTTATTTTAATCTTGTAAGAGATATGAATTGAAAACAAAATAACGAATATGCAGGAATTAACAATCCTGGAAAGGTAGTCTTTTTCTAACAATAATGTTTTATTGGCTACCAATAATATTTATCACCCCGCATATTTTATTTGTTTCTATCGTGTTCTTCATCAATTTATAATCAAGAATAGAATTAGTTCAATTCATTATGTACTGTAAAAGATTGTTTACTTTTACTTTTGTATTAGACGACGATAATAAAAACTAAAAAAACTCGTATGATTATTCCCTAT